TTAATTATTTTTGTGGTGAAATGTTGTGTAATAAGTGGTTTGACTGCACCGTTTCCCTTAAATGTCTGTCTAGTTTGAATTTGCCGCTTGCTTGCAACTGCTGTCTTCCCGGAAGCTTCCGCTTCGCGTCGGGGTCCTGATCACCCTGTCGGGGTTTATTCTGAGATAACAACCGGCTGGATGTACATTATCCCTTAAATAGACTTTGTCATTTAGAAATTTGAAGCGAAAACAGAATGGTCTGACTTTAGTTTTGTGAAACTATACTACATAAACATATCTGAACGAAACAGCAGACGAGCTGAAAGAGACGCAGATTCACTCTCTGCCAGCAGGTGGCGCTTTTGAAACGGCAGAAATAAAGGTGTTTCCCCGTAACAACTGTACATAAAGCAGAACTTCACTCATAAATGCTACTTTAATCAGGCAGTACAGGTAAGATTAATTAAAAATTCCATCAAAACTTTTCTAAAGACATTCGGTTCCCTTCAGAGATACACTGATATAAAAACATCCACGCCGTGACGCCACATTTTGACTTACAAATGTGCAGCATTTATTCAATTCAATGAATATTTTATTTTATTTTATTTTATTTATATTTTATTATTCAATGAAATCGAACACTTTTGAAGTTTATTCGTCACATTAAGCCATATCGTGATTCTTGTCTGTCTTGTCCCTAAATTTAAGACCTCTCAAAAATATAATGAAGACTTTTCTTGTACCATTTGAGGCATTTAAGTCTTTTATGTCCTTCAAAATATTACAACTAAATTTAAAACTTTTTAAGGACCTATAACCCTTTGATTCAACCCACCAAAGTGGCTATAATGGGAGTAACCGTTACATGCCCCTACTGAAATCCACCCGCATTTGGCGGGTGTTAATGTCAAGCCCTGCCTGCAGGTACAGCAATAAGATTTGAAGTACACGACAAGTGCATATTTAATACAGTTAAGCACATTTCTTTTTCACAAGAGAATACATAAGCAAAAGCAGAAGCCTATATGCTTAAAATATGGAGGAAGTGATTTTTGGTTTAGTTTTGTAATGTTTCCTCACCTTTGGTAGTTATGTCAGGTGAACGATAACCTCTCGGATCATTTGAGGTTATAACCCACATGTCTTTTTCAACTGGGGAATGTTTGTTACAAGCCATGTTTACACTTAGGTTAACATTTAGACATCAGCATTTTTTTGTTTTTCGTTAGCAACAGTTAATGTAACACAATCCAGCCGTGTCAACACGTGAAGTCTTTACATGTGTGAGCTAGATGTGATTCACCTGAGACAGACATATTATGGTAAACGATGAGATAATGTTTAGTGTATTTCCCCTCATTCTTCTGTGTCAAAGTCACGTGTGCTTCGCTAGCATGATGCCACACTTGGCTTATTTCCTCATGACTTCACCTGAGCGTTTATGGCTTACAGAAACTGTTTAACCTTTGCCTCTCCGCACCCTTTTTCAGTGTTGTTGTTGTGAAATCTAGTTACGGCTTTGAGTTGAATCATTAACAAATCAAAGTCTGGGTGTGGCCCTGAGAGGAAAGCAGGTCAGCGGGTACAGTAAGAGGATAAACTATTCCACTTGCAAGAAAACCATGTTCCTTGGCCGGCCACCATGTAAACAAACACGCAGTGCCAAACGCTTCCCGATTCTTTGAAATTAAACAGATAAGTGAAATATAAGAGCATCTCTGGACAGCTTGTACGATTCACAATACGATGCTGTGTTCACATTTCCTTGTTGTGGCACTTCGTGTTTTGCTGTTGTATATTTCCTCTAAGTTTTGAGAAATATTTCCCCTGAATTTCATCACAACATTGCCACATTTAACAAAAATAAACTAATAAAAAAAACTGATATTTAAAAGTACATATTCAGGTTTGGAGGGAAGTAATTTATTTGTTTTAATAATATTTTTAAGTATATATTTTTTAAATATTTCTATTAACTTTATTTTATTTCAGTTTTAGTTTCAGTACTTTTAGTGCCTCAACTTTAATTTTCGCTTAAGTTAAAGTTTTTCATCTAATATTCATATTTTATTTTAATTCAGCTTTACCAAACATGATTTTGAATAGCTTAAGTAAAAGTTTTTTAAACATATCTCATCATTTGATAGTGTGTGTATATATATAAGTATATAGGTTTAGAGGGAAGTCATTTGTTTGAATAATATTTTGGCATGTGTTTTATTTCTATATTTTCAGTTTACGTTTTAGTAATTTTATTATGTGCATTTGTCATTTTTACTATTTTATTGTTTAATGATTATTTTAAATATATATTTTATTACAGTTTTAGTACTTTTGGTTTGGTGCCAAGGCAACATTTTTTTTTTTTTTTAATATAGTAAAGTTTGTCCTCTGATATTTAGGGTTACCGCTGTAAACAAAGCAGAGCTGTGCTAATGAACACTACTTTAATATGCATTGTTCAGAAGCACGATGAAAAGAAAATACCAGTAAACTTTTCTAAAGATAGTCAGTTCCCCTCAGAGATACATTAATATAAACTCCTACTCCAATTGTATCGCGATCTGTTTGGCATCTCAACCACTGATCTATATATAATGACTCTATTATAGATCAGTGATCTATACCGATTTGAATCGTCACGTATTTGAGTCGATTTTCGACCGGTTCGCGGTTAATCGTTACATCCCTAACTGTTTTATATAGACTTGTTTTATAGTCTATACAGTATTTAATGCAATTACATCAGAAGTAATTGTAATTGAATTACAAACAAATTAAGAGTAATCCCTTACTTTTTCAAGAGAAAAGTAATTAAATTACAGTAATTAATTACTTTGTAATGCATACACCCAACACTGCAGTGAAAAATGCGCAATTGTTTGTTCAGACAAGATATAATTTGTGACATTGTTGGTCAAAAATGAAAATTCTACAGGGCTTTAGAGTTTTGCATGCACGTGAATCTTTTCATTATAACCAACAAGATGTAAACCATTCTTGCACCATTGACATTATGAGCAATACTTTCATGGCTGATGTCCGGTTCACTGGCGAAATCTAGAATGTACAATAACCATGAAATACACCAGACCTTCATCAACGGCACCTACACATCCATCAGGAAGTAGCAGAAATTCAAACGCTTGTGAATCCCTGCCATCTGCTCTTTGAGGGAAGGAAATGTTAGTCAAAACGTACATAACCAGTGTGCAACATCTGTACTGGAAAACAAGTAGGCCTAATGTATCGTGTAAGTGTATGATTATAATGTCATGTTCACAGAATCACCATTAAATCAGCATTGAACAGACTACCAGCCTGGTCGTTTGCCCTACTGTTTTTTAAAGAAACATCTTCATGTTAATTTATAGATTTGAAAACTACTGCTGATTTAACTATTAGTATACATAGCGTTTTTGTTTTCGTATAGAAGTTCAGTTTTAAAACAACGGGACATGTTTTATAATGATTATCCTTTAGTGGTGATCCTCAGTAACTTTTAATATATAATATAATATAATAATGATGTACAATCAAAGTAGAATGGCAGAAAAACAGATGTATGGCCCAAAAATCATGTTGCAAGACAGTCTACCTGCAGGAGGCGCTGTTGAATTAGTTGTAACTGAACTAAAGCCCAGTGTTTTTTTTTTTTAATGCAATCACGTGTTTTACGTTTCAGTATTGTCTTTCCTACTTTTCTTTTATTCACCCATGGTCAGTGACTTCCTTGCTGCCGTTTCTTTTAGTTTCTTCTAATTGAGATATTCATTAGTCTAGACCAGGGGTAGGGTATAAACTCCTACTCCAATTGTATCGCGATCTGTTTGGCATCTCAACCACTGATCTATATATAATGACTCTATTATAGATCAGTGATCTATACCGATTTGAATCGTCACGTATTTGAGTCGATTTTCGACCGGTTCGCGGTTAATCGTTACATCCCTAACTGTTTTATATAGACTTGTTATATAGTCTATACAGTATTTAAATTGTAGATCAGTGATCTATACCGATTTGAATCGTCACGTATTTGAGTCGATTTTCGACCGGCTCGCGGTTAATCGTTACATCCCTAACTGTTTTATATAGACTTGTTATATAGTCTATACAGTATTTAATGCAATTACATCAGAAGTAATTGTAATTGAATTACAAACAAATTAAGAGTAATCCCTTACTTTTTCAAGAGAAAAGTAATTAAATTACAGTAATTAATTACTTTGTAATGCATACACCCAACACTGCAGTGAAAAATGCGCAATTGTTTGTTCAGACAAGATATAATTTGTGACATTGTTGGTCAAAAATGAAAATTCTACAGGGCTTTAGAGTTTTGCATGCACGTGAATCTTTTCAGTCCCCTTGTTAATTACACCCTCATAAACCGAGCCTATATCAAAGCTGCACCACAGGGTATAATCACAAATCAGTTAGGCCTATTTTGCAATGTGGCAGATTATTTAGCTGCTTATAATACATTAAAGAGCCATCAAAGAGCAATAAACAGTAATCTGCCGAGTGGACACGCAAGACAAATATTTGACTGGCTGTGTATGTGAATCTATGAAATGTCAACTACTATTACATTAAACAATAATTAAACATCAAACTTTTTTTCATCTCAGAAAACTGAATTTTGTGTTTTAATTAATGTGCCGTGTCTGTGGCTTATGCCTTACAAATGTAGTGCATAATAAAATCATTAATAAATAAATAACAATTAAAATTAATTTGATAAATAAAATTAAGAGTATTTACATTCTATTTAACATATAATCATTTATGTAGCATGTTGTTATATAATTATAACATTTAAATATAGAGAGAAATAATAGTTGTATATAGATAGATAATAGCTATATTTACTATATGTATATATATATATATATATATATATAGCCTATTTTTGAGTATTTTTTTTGGCATCTCAACCACTGATCTATATATAATGACTATTGTAGATCAGTGATCTATACCGATTTGAATCGTCACGTATTTGAGTCGATTTTCGACCGGCTCGCGGTTAATCGTTACATCCCTAACTGTTTTATATAGACTTGTTATATAGTCTATACAGTATTTAATGCAATTACATCAGAAGTAATTGTAATTGAATTACCAACAAATTAAGAGTAATCCCTTACTTTTTCAAGAGAAAAGTAATTAAATTACAGTAATTAATTACTTTGTAATGCATACACCCAACACTGCAGTGAAAAATGCGCAATTGTTTGTTCAGACAAGATATAATTTGTGACATTGTTGGTCAAAAATGAAAATTCTACAGGGCTTTAGAGTTTTGCATGCACGTGAATCTTTTCATTATAACCAACAAGATGTAAACCATTCTTGCACCATTGACATTATGAGCAATACTTTCATGGCTGATGTCCGGTTCACTGGCGAAATCTAGAATGTACAATAACCATGAAATACACCAGACCTTCATCAACGGCACCTACACATCCATCAGGAAGTAGCAGAAATTCAAACGCTTGTGAATCCCTGCCATCTGCTCTTTGAGGGAAGGAAATGTTAGTCAAAACGTACAAAACCAGTGTGCAACATCTGTACTGGAAAACAAGTAGGCCTAATGTATCGTGTAAGTGTATGATTATAATGTCATGTTCACAGAATCACCATTAAATCAGCATTGAACAGACTACCAGCCTGGTCGTTTGCCCTACTGTTTTTTAAAGAAACATCTTCATGTTAATTTATAGATTTGAAAACTACTGCTGATTTAACTATTAGTATACATAGCGTTTTTGTTTTCGTATAGAAGTTCAGTTTTAAAACAACGGGACATGTTTTATAATGATTATCCTTTAGTGGTGATCCTCAGTAACTTTTAATATATAATATAATATAATAATGATGTACAATCAAAGTAGAATGGCAGAAAAACAGATGTATGGCCCAAAAATCATGTTGCAAGACAGTCTACCTGCAGGAGGCGCTGTTGAATTAGTTGTAACTGAACTAAAGCCCAGTTTGTTTGTTTTTATGCAATCACGTGTTTTACGTTTCAGTATTGTCTTTCCTACTTTTCTTTCACTCACCCATGGTCAGTGACTTCCTTGCTGCCGTTTCTTTTAGTTTCTTCTAATTGAGATATTCATTAGTCTAGACCAGGGGTAGGCAAGTTCGGTCCTAGAGAGCCGCAGTCCTGCAGAGTTCAGCTCCAACCCTACATTAAACAATAATTAAACATCAAACTTTTTTTCATCTCAGAAAACTGAATTTTGTGTTTTAATTAATGTGCCGTGTCTGTGGCTTATGCCTTACAAATGTAGTGCATAATAAAATCATTAATAAATAAATAACAATTAAAATTAATTTGATAAATAAAATTAAGAGTATTTACATTCTATTTAACATATAATCATTTATGTAGCATGTTGTTATATAATTATAACATTTAAATATAGAGAGAAATAATAGTTGTATATAGATAGATAATAGCTATATTTACTATATGTATATATATATATATAGCCTATTTTTTGGTATTTTTGATACCGTTTTAAACTGGTTTAGATCTTATTTGACTGGACACAAGACAGTTTGTTGTTTTAGGGGAATACAGGTCTGATATTGGGTCAGTTTCTACTGGCATCCACCAGGGCTCAATTTTAGGGCCCTTACTTTTTAGTCTTTATTTATTCCCTATTGGTCAACTTTTACGAGATTTGGGTATCAAGTATCACTTTTATGCCGACAACACACAAATCTATATTCATTGTAAACATGGTCAGAGTGAGGCTGTCTCATTGTTCACTAAATGTTTCTCTGAGATAAAATCATGGATGGCTAATAATTTTCTGTGCTTAAATGGTGATAAGACTGAGGTACTGCTTATTGGTTCTCTTCATCAAAGTCCTCTTTTCATTGATGGTTCTGTATTTGAATTTTAACTAGGACCAAATCTAGAGATCAGTTTACTCCCATTTTGACGTCACTACACCACCAGTTAAGTATATAGTCGATTTCAAGTTCTCATGCTCACATATAAAGCTCTCCACGGTCTGGCCCCGGGGTATTTATCTCAACTTTTAATACTTTATATTCCAAATCGAGGTCTTCATTCTTCTCAGCAGGGTTTATTGGTTGTCCCTCAAGCACGGTTGTGTGGACAGAGCTTTTTCTATATCTGCTCCCAGGTTGTGGAACCAACTTCCAGTTGAAATTCAGGAAGCACAGTCTCTTGGCATTTTTAAAACGCATTAAAAAAAATTGTAATTTTTTTTTTAAAGCTAGCTTGTTGTTGATTGTGATAATTATTGCTGATTCTTATTTTAATCCTCCTGTGCTCTTTTGTTTGATTTATTTTATATTTTGCTTTAATTTTATATGTATTTTTATTGTAAAGCACTTTGAGAAGCTCTTTTAAAGGCACAATAGAAAAATAAAGTTCTTATTATATTATTATTATTTAATTTTATTTATTTATTTATTTTTAAGATTTTTTTTTACTACATTTCCCCTTGAGTCAATATTTACAAAACCTCAGACACTACACTTTAATTAGAATCTAGTTATAAATTACTGCTGTAATATTTAAATATATCAATTGCATAATTTGTGTTGCTTTATTTTAGTGTTGTTTATTTTAGGTTTTCCGTGCACTAAACCTCCCCTGAGCCAATATCCACAAAACCCCAGACGCTGCACCTTAATTAGATGCTAGTCATAAATTACCGTTGCCGTGGATTCTTTGGGTCTGTGACACTGCAATGATGTCACATATGGTTCTGATGAGAATGTATTGATGTTATCTAACATCTAACTTCACAAGGTTCAACTGCTATGCTGATGTAACTCTTTGTCTTATATTGTGCGCGTCTTATCTTTAAGATTTAATACACAGGTTAGCTTTCGGCTAGTACAGTCTGTGGAATTTTAATTTTCAGTTCAATTAAATACATCAAAGAGCTGATGGCAGCTTGGGAGGGATGCAATTATTTCAATTATTAAATTATGCAACCGTCTAAATTATAACTGTCTAGAATGTCACAATGATAATTCCCATTAGAAGCTGTCAGTTTTCATTTTTAGCACCGAAACGTTTTTCACCTTTTTTAATTTTTTTAACAAGATTACAGTTTAAAAGTAGAGAATCAAAGAGCTGATGGCAGCTTGGGAGGGATGCAATTATTTAAATTACTAAATTATGCAACCGTCTAAATTATAACTCTAGAATGTCACAATGATAATTCCCATTAGAAGCTGTCAGTTTTCATTTTTAGCACCGAAACGTTTTTCACCTTTTTTAATTTTTTTAACAAGATTACAGTTTAAAAGTAGAGAGAAGTGCATGTGCTTCAATTTTTACAACCTAAGCTGTTTCTTACCTTCACAACTGCTGTAAAAATCAATAAAATGCTGTTATACATTAAGTCCTGCTGACTTTTTTAGCATATCCTTTTGGGGTTGAAGGGGGCACTTGTACTGTCCCGCTATTGCAATTCAAGGATCAAACTTTACCCCCGATGAGCCCACAAAACTCATCACCCAAGATGGTCTGTAATCATGAGCGAGCTGCATGTACGGGCCACATGGGCTAAACACAGAGCTCCAACCCACAGACATAATGAAAGTCCTGTAATACCAGCCTCAATGAAAAACAGAAGGGCTTCAGAGCAGGATCCACATCAGTAAATAAACCCATTATTATAAAAACAAACTAATAAGTATTAAAAATAATAAATGTTATTTTGTTATAAATAATACATTTATAAATACATTTATTC